GGGGGGAGGGTCAGAGAGAGAGGCAGACTCCCTGCTGAGCAGGAAGCCTGATGCGGAACTCAATCCTGACTCCAGGATCATGACCTGAGCCGAGGGCAGTCACTTAACCAACTGAGCCACCCAGGCGCCCTGCCTTTATTTCTTTATCTGTTATTAATATTACTACCTACTTCAGAGGGTGTTTTCTAGGGGCAAATGGAAAACTGCATGTAAACAGCTCAGCACAGTACCTGGCATGTGATAGGTGCTCAGTATATGCAAGCAGAGATTATTGTCTCCATTTTGCATGAGGCTCAGAGAGGGCAACCAACTTGCTCCAAATTGCCCACCTGTTAAGTGTTGAGGCCAGGATTCACACTCAGGTGTCTCTGGCTCCAAAGCCTTCTTCTGGGCTGTCTCTTTGTTTTTCTTTAAGATTTTATTTATTTATTTGACAGAGAGAGACACAGCGAGAGAGGGAACACAAGCAGGGGGAGTGGGAGAGGGAGAAGCAGGCTTCCCGCTGAGCAAGGAGCCCGATGCGGGGCTCGATCCCAGGACCCTAGGATCATGACCCGAGCCGAAGGTAGACACCTAACAACTGAGCCACTCAGGCGCCCCTGGGCTGTCTCTTTACATGGCTCAGGATCCCTTAGCACTCTCCCTCTGCCCCCACTCACCCCCTCCTTGTACCCCTTCCTTTAGAACCCTGGTGACTCTGTGTGGTCTCTAGACTCTGGCTGTCCCTCAGACCTGGCTCCTGAGTGCCCTTCTGTGCATTGGGAACCTTCTGGACTATACACACTTGTGGGGCTGCTGCGGACCGGCTGGCGTGGGGAGGAAGCTCCCCTGTCCTGCAAGAAGAGAGGGAGAGCAAGGCTGGCCCGGTGAGAATGAAGAGGAGGTGGAGGAAGGGGGAGCAAGCCATGAAGTGGCAGAGGTGACTCACCTGGTCTTTGGATCCCAAAACCAGTTTCCTTCCCAACGCTCCACAGATACACAGAAGCAGGAGCTGAACGTCCGGGGATGGGTGATAAACACAATGATCCCAAGAGCCTCACTTTGCCTCTTAGGAACTTGTGGGACTTATAGCTAAGGAACTGTTAACCCCGAAGATGCCAAATAATGAGTGAAAAACAAAGCTTAGATGAAGGTGAACTTAGCTACATGATCCAACCACTCACAAATCATTTCTCTACCACCACCTGTATCGGAAGAGGAAGGGCCAGAGCTGGTCAGTGTGATCAGCACAGTACTGTGATAATAGCCCTCTGGCTGTCCCCAGCTCCCAACTAACTGCCCAGGTTCTAAGAACATGTTAACCTGTGGTTTGTGGTTAAAGCGCCCCCGTGTGTTTCCACTTTGTCATAAGTTCTTTAAAGGACCAATTATCAGTACCATCAAGATTTATGAGGGAGGGGGCTTATCTCCTTGAATCACCACAACACGAAGAAGTTGGTGGCCACCCAGGCCCGGAGGGGCTCAAGGACCACTGAGTGGCTCAAGGACCACTGAGTGAGAGCCGCATAGCCAGGACTCCGATCTGATCAGGTCAGCCTTCTCAGAAGCCTATTCTCTCCGCCACCTTTCCCTGCATCTATCTGGTCTCCAGACACAGAGCCTGGTCCTCAGGAACTGATGTGTGGGTGGTTCCAGAACCTCTGGAGGCTGCCAGCACTGTACTAGCCTCAGACTACAGTCCAGTAGCTTGTCCTCAATTCTGCGGCCAGCCCTTCCGTGTGGGAGACTGCCCCCCCTTCCCCGCCCTCATCTTCTTCCCAGGTCCTACCCTAAACATTCATTCAGCAAGCCAGGGCTGGAGGCTGGGACCCCAGAAATGAGCAGGGTCGGACTCACATCCCTTCCTTCGGGCATGAGTTCACTGGGAGGCAGCACTGGGTTCTGGTGGAGACTCTGCGGTCACACAGCTTGAGTCCTGCTACTTTCTTCCCAGCTCCTGAGCCTCAGTTCCCTCAGCACTCAGGTAGAGTTAGCGGTGGCATAAAGGTGACGATGCGTACAGGAGTCAAGCCCTGAAGGCGGCAGCAGTCATTCTGCTTCATTCACCAAACTCAGGGTTTGCCACGGGTCAGGCTGATGCAGGCGGCTGGAGACAGGGATAAATCCATGTGGTTTGTGAGGCCCAGAAAGGACCAGGAGGCACTTATGTGAAACGCTAGAGCTCCCACCCCCTTGCTCCTTCTCTCCCTACCTTTCCTATACACCCCCCTCCCACAAACACAAAGGCCTGAATACCCAGGGACAGCAAGTCTGGGGACCACCTCCCACCCCAGGCCCATCTTTGACCCTTGGGCCACTTCCTAGTGCCCAGCCTGGTGCTAGGGGTGACGGGAAGGGGGTATCAATCAGCATCTCAAAGCCCAGAGGAGCCTCCTTTTGGTGGACAGGAGGCTCATCCTCCTCCCAACCCGGAGAGGGAGAGCCCACCCCCTGTGAGATGGCTGCTGTGTTCTTCCCATACATCCCAGGACCAGCGGGCCAATAAGAACAAGGGATTTGAGGGGCGGGCTGGAAAAGGTGTCTGTAAAAGAGGGTGGGGCCCAGTGCCTGGTTGGTCTGTTCTAGGTGTGAGGAGGTTCAGAGGGGCTTCTCCTGGCTCTGGAGGTAGGCACATCCTCTGGCTAGGGGAGCGATCAGAGCATCCTCAGGTGTGAGGTGTTGGAGAGCCCCCCCCCCCACCCCGGCCAACTGTTTTCCTCTCCTGCCTCACCCTCTGCTGGTTGGGCTGGCCCAGGCCCAAGGAAGAGGAGTTCGGGACAGCAGATGGCCAATTTATGCCCTGAGCATACCTGTCCTCTCTCTGAGCAGCTCCCAGCATGGGCAAAGAGAAGACCCACATCAACATTGTGGTCATCGGCCATGTGGATTCGGGCAAGTCCACCACGACAGGGCATCTCATCTACAAATGTGGTGGCATTGACAAGAGGACCATCGACAGGTTTGAGAAGGAGGCCTCAGAGGTGAGGCTGCTCTATCTGAGCTCCCTGCCCCTCCTTCCTAGCCGTGGTTTCCCAGGGAGGGATACCTCACTGTCGGGGAGGAGACTGCTCACTTCCGCTGAGCACCTGCTGGGCTGGTAGGTGCTTTCCCTCTCAATCATGTCAGGCAGGTGATGGCTGTCATTTTCCAGGTGAGACAAATGAGGCTCAGAAGGGTAAAAGAGCTTGCCTGAGGATGGTGCCAAGGTTTAAATACCAGTGTGACACAGATGCCATGCCGTATCTCAGGAACTAAAGCTGCCATTTAAAAGAGGGGAAAGGACTTATTTGTCATGCATCTACCAGGGATCTTAAGGTAGTCCCATGGGTACCATGGCAGGTGCAAGCAAGCCTTGCCCCCCAGAAACTCCTGGTCACACACCCTTCTGTCACATAGTAAGCTCAGTAACAGCATGGGTGCTGTAGGAGCCCAGGTCACGAACAATGAACACGTCCTAAGAAGCCTTGAAGGATTCCCGAAGGAATGGATCTCCTCTGAGCCTTGAGGAAATGGGGCAGGTGTCCATGAGCCACAGGAGATTGAAACAGCAGGTGTAGAGCACCTGAGATGGAGGTCGTTGCCTGGTAGGACAGGCGACATAGGCCTTGAATGCCCTGCTAAAGAGCCTGGTCACTTTCCCTGCAGTGACTAAAGGATTTCAGGCACGGGAATGATAGGAATCAGGCAAGATCTTTTTAGGAAGAGCACACTGGCTGCAGCATGGGGAGAACAGGCCAAAGGGCCCAATGCTAGGGGCTAGAAAGCCGGTCGGGAGGTTGTTGCTGTTGACCATGGGAGCAAGGACGGTGGCCTGGGCTCAGGCAGCAGCAGTGGGCATGGAGAGTAATGGGTGGAATCCAGGGACGTGGAGGCGGGGAATCCTCAGAACTTAGCAGTTAGCTGTAGGGAAGGGGGCAAGGGAGGAAGAAGAGTTGAGGGTGGTCCCCAAGTTTCCAGCTTTGGAAATTGGAAGGTCAGGGAATACCAGGGGCAGAGCTGATCTGGAGTCTGAACAGGTCTGCTCTAGATGTGTGAAATTTGAGGTGTCCACAGGGCTTTCTGTGCTCATATCCAGGAGGGCAGCTGAACAGTGAAGTCCGGAGCTCAAGACGGAAGCCCGGACTGGGGACTAAACCATGGGAGTGAGCTGGAAAGGGTGAGGGACAGAGCCCCAGGATGGGTGAAGTAAGAGCCCAGGCAGGAGAATGAGAAGGGAGAGCCAGGGAGGTGAGTAGAAAACCTGAGACTTGAAGAAGCATCGGACAAGACAGGAATAGTCTGTAGAACCAGCTGCTGCAGAGACAGAAATAGGATGGAGAAGAGAAAGCAACAGGTCCTAAATCAGTGCCATCAGCTATTCTCATCTTGGCTTCCTCAGGTATAGTCAGAATTGTTGTGGGGGCGCTTATGTGGCAAGGGCTGCCAAGTAAAGCTTTAGAACTGTGAGAAAGAGACTGGTCCGTAGCCAATACGTAGAAGCATAGCCAAGAAGGTTATGGAAAAACAATGGGGTGGTTCTCAAACTTTCTGGTCTCAGGAACCCTTTGAATTCTTAAAGGTACCCCAACGAGTTTGTTTATGTAAATGAGATCTATATATTTATGATATTCAAAATTAAAACTGAGGTTTAAAAATGCTTAACTCACTTAAAAATAATAGTAATATACTCCTTATATATTAATGTAAATATCACACTTTTTGTGTATGAAAAATAACTATTTTCCAAAACAAAGAATCTTGCGAGGGTGACATTTTTGCTGATATCTTTAATGTCTGACTTAATAGAAGACAGCTGGATTCTCATCTGCTTCTGCAATCAACCTGTTGCGATTTCACCTCTAGAAAGCACCACTGCACAATGATGAGAAAATGAGGGCGGGAAAAGGCAAATAATGTCTTAGCATTATAAAAACAGTTTTGACCATGCAAACTCTAAACGGTATCAAGGTCCCCGGAACACACTTTGATAGCTACTTATCTAATGAATATTCTAACCTGTAATGGACTTCATAAAATAGAAGTTCCTACAGTAGCAAAAGTTAGGATACCTGGGTTCTATGTCTGTCTTTTAGTAAACTAATTAATTTTCTTGAGGAAGCCACCTGGTCTCTGGTCTTTCCTTTTCTTCGCTCTGCCCTCTAATTAGAGCTGAAATGAACATATGCTCAGGACCCCTGAACTGGCAAGTGGTAGAGTATACCCTAGACCAGCATGTTAACTTGAATATGCTACCGACTTTTGGTCACCTTTTTACCAGTGCTGAAATCGGCTCAACTTCCCCAGGCTGCCAAGGGTAATTATCAGTCATAGATACCATTTAACATAGGGTAGCGGCTAAGAGTTTGAACTTGAGTCTGATGCTTTTTGGTTCAAATCCTGACTCTGCTGTTTATTAATCCTATGATCTTGGACTAGTCAGTTAATTTCTCTGTTACTTCATCTGCAAGATGAGGATAATACTCCACTAAGTTGTTGTGAGATTAAACGAGATAACCCACGTTAAGTGCTTAAAACAGCACCAAGTTCAAGGTCAGCATTACTTACATGTTCGCTATTACTGATTTGAGGGCTTGCTGACCCTCTGCCAGGTCCACATGCTTGCCTAGGCACTTTGTCATTTGGCCCTGGGTCACTCTGACTCCCAAACCAGCGCTGAAAGACAAACTTAATTATACAAGTAATAAATTATGTTGTTTGAAAAATTCAAAGGTCTCTCCATACACAGTCCTGTTACCATCCCTCTGACTCTCAACTCCTTTCGTAACTTCCTTCCTGGTTGATGGGCAGCTTTGGATATAGGGGTGACCCTGGGGCTTTCCCTCCTGCTCCCGGCCCAGGTGGGCAAAGGCTCCTTCAAGTATGCCTGGGTGCTGGACAAGCTGAAGGCAGAACGGGAACGGGGCATCACCATTGACATCTCCCTGTGGAAGTTTGAGACCAAAAAATATTACATCACCGTCATCGATGCCCCAGGTCACCGTGACTTCATCAAGAACATGATCACAGGGACCTCACAGGTACCACCGGAGTCGTCTTGGCTCTGCTGCAGGGGTGGGCAGTGGGTGTCCCCGGCCAAGTCTGAGTTGGGCCTTCTTCTGTCTGTCACTTGGGCCAGGCAGACTGTGCTGTGCTGATTGTGGCCAGTGGTGTAGGTGAGTTTGAGTCTGGCATCTCCAAGGATGGGCAGACCCGTGAGCATGTACTGCTGGCCTGTACGCTGGGTGTGAAGCAGCTCATCGTGGCAGTCAATAAGATGGACATCACGGAGCCTCCTTACAGTAGCGCACGCTTTGAGATCAGCAAGGAGGTGAAGGCCTATATCAAGAAGATCGGTTACAACTCTGAGGCTGTCGCCTTTGTGCCCATCTCAGGCTGGCATGGGGACAACATGATAGAACCCAGCACCAAGGTGAGAACTGACTGGGATGGGGCTAATTAAACGCAACATTCCCACTCAAATCTTTGAGCTTCTTCGAGAATATAATACCCAGGATTTACAGCATGCTTATGGGCCAATCACTGTGAATGATCCCCATTTTACAGGTGAACAGAGGTTATTCAAGACTACACGACTAGTAAGCATAGAGCTGCATTGTGCAATGTAGCATTTAGTTTCATGTGGTTATTATTTTTTTTTTTAGATTTTATTTATTTATTTGAGAGAGTGAGAGAGAGAACACAAGCAGGGGAGGGGAGGGGCAGAAGGAGAGGGAGAAGCAGGCTCCCCACTGAGCAGGGAGCCCGATGAGGGGCTTGATCCCAGGACCCTGGAATCATGACCTGAGCCGAAGGCAGACGCTTAACCAACTGAGCCACCCAGACGCCCTGCCTATTAACTTTAATAATTTAAGTCAAATGAAATAATTTCAGTTCCTTAGTTGTATTAGCTACGTTTCAAGTGTTCCACAACCGCATGTGGCTACCATGTTGGACAGTGAAGTTACAGAATGTTTCCATCATTGCAGAAAGTTCTGTTGAGCAGTGCAGGCAGAGACTGTAATTCTAGTCCACGCTCACAGCATCTAAGCTACCTCTCTAGGCAGGTTAGGAAGTGTGGGGGCAATATAAATGTGTCTAAGATATAGTCACTGCGCTCATGGATCCCAGAATCTAGTCGGGTTTAAAATTCTTAAGTGAGTGTCTCCCTACAAAGGAAGTCTAGTTCTCTGGCATCAGACCTGGGGTCAAGCCCCAGCTTTCTCCCTTGCCCACAGTAAAGAGGTAAGAGAGGAATTAATACTTTGGGCATTAGGACTTACTTCATGGGACTGTGAGCATTAAATGAGAGACTCCACATGGGCATCGGTTCATGCATACAGTTGGTGCTCAAATGCTAACTGCTATCCCTTACTACTTTATTGCCTAAAACCTAACTTTTCCATAACTGACTTGAGGATCCTTAGCCTTTTCTTCCACATGGACATAGCATAATCTTTTTCTGATTATAAAAGTAATGCCTAACATTTTTACAATGAGCCTTTCATGCAGATATGAAGCATAAACTTCATGGCTTATAGATAACCTAGTTTTCATGCAGTTCTTTCTAGATATTCAGAGCTGGACTCAAACTGTACATAATTTTCTATAAAACTCTTTGTTTTTAAAATTTTCTTTGCCATTTAAACATGTTGAATACTTAGTGGGTGTTTTATATCATAGATCACAGAGGTACATTAGACTGTGTAGCCATATCCATTATTAAGTAAAAGTGGTACTGAGAGATTACCATGTGCCAGACACCAGACTAAATACTTTACATGCACACAACCTCATGAAGAAGACATTTTACTCCCATGTAAAATAAGAAAACTTGGACACAGTATAGTTAAGTGATAGCCCAAGGTCACAAGCTTCTAAGAACATTGTTTCTAGTTTTATTAAAAATTGCCGTAAGCATCTTGCTAAATAAATCCTTGCATGTGTCCTCATTAATTTAATTAGAAAAAGCTCCTAGTGAAACAAAGGGTAGGCATTATCTTGGAGTCTTCTGACACATATGGCCCAATTGTCCTTGGGAAAGATTAGAGCTACCACTGGGCAGTGTGTTCCTTTGGATGGTACTTCAATATTTGCATGCTGGGCACTGTCCTTGGTGCTGGGGTTGTGGTAGCAAATGATAGGCAACCCCGCTCGTAGCAGTATGGTCTTCTGGGGGTAGTGGTAATATAGGGGATGATGACAAGTGCTAAGAAAAATGTAAGGCTGAGGGAGGCATGATATGAGAGTGTTACTCTATATTGGGTGGTGAAGGGGGTCTCTTCTAAAATGACAGTAGAACAGAAGCCTGAAGCTTTGCCCATTTCCCCACTTCCCAAGTATTACCACAGAGTTCAGCTAGTGAAATAAGGGGATTTCATTCTCCTGTCCCTTTGGTTATTTATTAGGCATCTAGTATGTTCTAAAATATTTTATTCATTTGACAGAGAGAGAGACAGCATGCACGCACACAAGTAGGCAGAAGGGCAGGCAGAAGGAGAGGGAGAAGCAGGTTCCCCGATGAGCAGGGAGCCCAATGTGGGGCTTGATCCCTGGACCCGGGGATCATGACCTAAGCCAAAGGCAGATGCTTAACAGACTGAGCCACCCAGGTGTCCCATATCTAGTATGTTCTAGATGCTAAAAGAACAAAGCATGCACTCAGTGGACTAGATAGATTTAGGGTTTAGCCTTTGCTCTCAAGAAATACCTGTGACATCGGAGACCTCAGTTTCCCCATTTTTAAGATGGGGATGATACTGATCTCATAGGCTTATTCAGGCCTCTGAGTTGGCACAGAGACAAATTAGTTGCTAAGTTCACCAAACTAATAGAAGAACTTATCTTTACCAATGAGGCTGGTGTTTGAGTGGGAAGTTGACCCACAGAAAGGAGCCAAATGGAATTCCAGTTAAATGATACATCTCTGAAGGCAAAGATGATGTCTTTGCTGAGCTTTGGCCAAGGTTTTTAGAGAAGTAAATATAGTATCTACTTAAAAGGCGTGAATACAGTGCACTGTCATCTTTAAGGTTATCCTTCTAGAAAGCCTTATGCTCAATAATGCTGCCCCTCCTTGCCTAAGATGTTGGGGAACATCTAGTCTTTAGAAGGTATAAGTGTTAGAGTATTTGAATCTTGTTTTCATTCTCATTCCTGATGCTTACTTAACTGTGCCGCATGTTTTCTCTGCTCCTCCTGTGTAATGAGCAGATGGAATAAGACCTAAGAGCTAATCAGATTCAAGGAATCTCTGCCCCCTAAAAATATTGGCTCAAGTGAGGGGCAACACCTACAAGATTTAGAGGAATGACCACCATTTAGTGGGTGTGTAGTACATGTCAAACATTGTGCTTGGTGGACTGTGTGTGGTCTTTTGTGTCTTCACTTGAGCCTGCAAAGTAGGTGATGGTATCTGTTTTACAGATGAGGAAGCGGAGGCTCAGAATGCATTAAAAAATTGCTTGAGGTGCCATGTTAAATCCAGGTTGGCACCTGCGACAGGCTCCCTCGAGCCTAAGCAAGCTGCACATTTGGTGGCTTTTCCAGATGTCCTGGTTTAAAGGCTGGAAGATCACCAGGAAGGAAGGAAACATGGTGGGCATGACACTGCTAGAAGCACTGGACTCCATCATGTCCCCTGCCCGCCCTACGGACAAGCCCCTGAGGCTGCCTCTGCAGGATGTATACAAGAATGGGGGTGAGTATGTGCTATGTGGGGGTGCTTGGGGTTGGGGGCTCACTGAAGGCTGGCTGCTGACCATTCTGGTTGCTCTGTCCCCCCAGGCATCGGCACCGTGCCTGTGGGCCGGGTGGAAACAGGCTTCCTCAAGCCAGGCATGGTGGTGACCTTTGCCCCCTGCAACATCACCACAGAGGTCAAGTCTGTAGAGATGCACCACGAGGCCCTGGCTGAGGCCCTGCCTGGAGACAATGTGGGCTTCAATGTGAAGAATGTGTCGGTGAAGGCCATCAGGAGGGGCTACGTGGCAGGAGACAGCAAGAATGACCCGCCCTTAGAAGTGGCAAGCTTCGTCTCCCAGGTGAGGAGGCCCATTTAAGGGTGTCTTCTGAGACAGCCATACTGTCCTACATGCAGAATGGTTCACTGGGTCATTCAGGAAGTGGGCACTGAGCATATGCTCTATGCTGGGCTCTTGACCAGCAGTATAGGTAGAGTCCGGGTTAGAATCCTGACTGCACCTTATTTGCTACTTTGCCCTTGAACAAAACAATGCAGTTCAATGGTCTTCTTAGTTTCCACAGTATGGTCTTAAAGCAGTTGTTTTCAAACCCGGTGGATTAGAATCACCTGGGAAGCATTTCAAAAATGCAGATTCCTGGGGCGCCTGGGTGGCTCAGATGGTTAAGCCTCTGCCTTCGGCTCAGGTCATAATCCCAGGGTCCTGGGATCGAGTCCCACATCCGGCTCCCTGCTCAGCAAAGAGCCTGCTTCTCCCTCTCCCTCTGCACCTCCCCCTGCTCATGCTCTCTCTCTCTCTGTCTCTCTCTGTCTCAAATGAATAAATAAAAAAAATCTTAGAAAAAAAATGCAGATTCCTAACATTTTTCCCAGTGGTTCTGCAGAATGATTCAGTAGACATGGGTGGAAGCTGGGAATCTGTATGTTAGAGCTCTCAGGTGTTTCTTCGGCCCAGAGTTAGAATGTGGAGGCTGTTCTGAATGCAACGTCTGGCACATTCTTACTTCTGCAGGTGGAGGCTTGCACTACCTCGCAGTGAGCTTGGGAGCATTACATGAGGTGATGATATGTAAAACAGCTGACCTGGGGCCAACAGGTCATCTAACAAGTTAGTCAACTGCTATTGTAATGCATTTTTCTAAGTGGCAGGGAAAAGTAGTACATAAATAACATGTATGCGTGTAGGTTTTAGTATCACTCATCCCTAGCTCTGCCACCTCCCTGCTATTTCATCATGGGTAAATTATCCAGGCTCTTTGCTATGAAAATTAAATTGGAATGCATGAGATATGCTTAGCACAGAACTTGGTATACTCTATAAATGTTCAAATGCTCACTATAATTTAAAGTGTGTCCAAGGTGGGACGCCTGGGTGGCTTAGTCGGTTGAGCGTCTGCCTTCAGCTCAGGTCATGATCCCAGGGTCCTGGGATTGAGTTCCGAGTCGGGCTCCCTGCTCAGCAAGGAGCCTGATTCTCCCTCTGCCTGCCGCTTCCCCTGCTTATGCACGCTATCTCTCTCTCTGACAAATAAATAAGATCTAAATAAATAAATAAATGTGTCCAAGGTGCCTGACCCCTTAGCTGGTTAGGGCTACCTCCTCTGGAGGATGCTGGGCTAATGCCTTCCCCCGCTCCCATCCCACCCTGGGTTCCAGGTAATCATTCTCAACCACCCTGGCAGCATTACCACTGGCTACTCACCAGTCCTGGACTGCCACACGGCCCACATTGCCTGCAAGTTTGCAGACCTCAGGGAGAAGACTGACCAGCGCTCAGGCAAGAAGCTGGAAGACAATCCCAAAGCCCTGAAGTCTGGGGACTCAGCCATCGTTCAGATGATTCCACGAAGGCCCCTGTGTGTGGAAAGCTTCTCAGAGTACCCGCCCCTCGGCAAGTCCTGATAGCACTTGGCTCCTGGACCCTTCCTCCTCCTGGCTCTAGGGAGCCAGTGTTCCAACGGGTCACACCCAAACCAGATTGCAGAACCTGGTCAGAAGGACTGGCATTCCAGGTTAGAAGGGCCCCCAAAAAGGAAAGTAGCTTGCCTAGTGTCACACAGCAAGGCAGGGCCATTTTAGAGCCTTGTTACTCTAAGTGTGGTCCATGGACCAGCAGCATGGGCATCCCCTGGGAAGTGGTTAGAAGTGGAGAACCTCACGCTCTATCCAGACCTGCTGAACTCAAATCTTCAGTATAACAAAATCCACAGGTAATCGGGATGCACATCAATTTGAGAAACCCTGATTCAGAGGAGGTGAATAAACCAGAGATTAGCAGGGATTTTCTTTTTCCTTCTTAATCTTCAGTGCAGTCGTTTTCAAACCTGGTGGATAATCAGAACCACTGATGGACCCTATTAAACCCAGAGGTTCAGACCCTGACAGATTCACCTGATCAAGGCTGCAGCCTAAAAGTCTGTTTCTTAGATTTCCCCAAGTATATTCTGCATGGCTAGGTTTGAACAATTAACCTAGAAAGTTCTGACCTCAAATATATAGGGAGTAGGCATTTTTATACAGTGCCTGCTCTGTGCTAGATGATAGATATTTATAAACAGGTTCTTGCCCTCAGCGCCTCCCAGTTAATGGGGAGGGGGGCGAATTTCAAAAGGCTAGTTTTATTTATTTTTTTATTATGTTATGTTAATCACCATACATTACATCTTTAGTTTTTGATGTAGTGTTCCATGATTCATTGTTTGCATATAACACCCAGTGCTCCATTCCTCCATTCAGTACGTGCCCTCTTTAATACCCATCACCAGGCTAACCCATCCCCCCACCCTCAAAAGGCTAATTTTAGAGGTGGGCCACAGATGCTGCCACATGAATCTTGCAAAGCTGGTTTAGTTCTTTCTACCTCTGCCAAAAATACTGTGAGTTTGAAGCCAGATGCCAAAGCCTTGCCCTCCACAGTCTGAAGTCAGAGGAGCATTCAAGAGCCCCCAGGAGAAGCAATTGCCGGATTCACAGCTGAATGTAAATGAGATCTATCCTATGGGTTGTTGTGATGGGCACAGAGAAGGTGCTAATTGCTTGGAGGCTGGGAGCATTAGTATGTACGGTAGGGTGGTGGGTGCACCAAAAGCAAAGTTTTCCCTGTGACCTTTACTTATGGAAGTAGGACAGTCCAGTGGCTAAGAATATAAGTGCTGGTGTGAGACTTTCTGGGTTTTCAACCATCACAGCAAAGTGACCTTCTACTTCTTTGCCCCAGTTTCCCCAACTGTAAAATAGAGTGAGATCTACTTTGAGTTGTTGAGATAATTAAATGCACTCCTATGTATAATTCAGAATATCACTGATTTGACCTCCCGTGACAGTGTCCTATAGCTTGTGCCCTGTGGTAGCATTCCCCACCTGTTTCTTCATGTCCTGTGTCCTAGGTCGCTTTGCTGTGCGTGACATGAGGCAGACCGTGGCTGTTGGGGTCATCAAGGCTGTGGAGAAAAAAGCAGCGACTGGTGGCAAAGTCACCAAGTCTGCCATGAAAGCAGCCAGGAAGTGAGTGGTGACAGCTACTCTAGGACTTTCTGGGAGAGGGGCAGCCCAGGAGGAGCCACAGCTGGAAAAGAACGGCTCAAGGAGAAGTCTTAGCTTGTTCTTCTCTTGCCTAAACGGTCTTAAACCCGCCCCTGCTAATGCACTTTTCTTTTTGCTGATGAGTCTGAGGCATGGGAATAAAGCACAGCAAGTCTTTTTGCCTCTGCCTCTGACCTTGATTGCAAGCAAGGAGGAAGCAGGTGGGGTGCTCAGTCTAATTCTACCCCTCACCTTCCTTCTGGTGCCTGCCTGAGCAAGAACCAGAGAGCTAGGGTCACAGGGAGGAAAATGTGTAAAGGGGAAAGTGTAGGGCAGCTTTTGGCCCAGGCCAAGTTCATCAGTTCCTAGAACAGGACTCTGGTGTTTTAAACTGCCTGACTTAAATAGTGTCTATAAAAGTTATTGAATCTTCTGTGTGCTTTGCTTGTCTGTAAAATGGGAAGATAATAGTATCTGCCTCCACAGGGATGTTGAAGTTTGAGTGAGCTGGTACCTGCTGGGCATGGTAATCAGCTACTCTCATTGACATGGTGGGGGCACTGGAGGCAAGAGAGCCCTATTATGGGGACGTTCTATTGGAAAAAACTTGAGGAGAAGGGGATGAGCCTGAGGTTTGTAGGATGAGCTGTTTTATATTTCCTAGGTATATGTTTCCCTCAGGTTACTTTTTTAACTTCAGTTTAACAATTTGAGTCACAAAGTTGCAAGAGGCAATTTCACCCAGATTCCCCAAATCTTATTTACCATTTTTTACCCGAATTATTTGAGAGTAAGCTGCAAACATGGTGGCCCTTTACAATGAATACTGTAAGTCCAAGAATATTCTCTGATATAATCAAGGTCAAGTAATCAGAATGAGGACATTAAATTAACATGGGTACACTTCTGAAATCTGCAGACCTGATTCAGATTTTGCCAATTATTCCAGAAACATGCTTTATAGCAAAAGAAAATCCAGGATCATGTGTTGCATTCAGCAGTCTTGTCTCTTTATTGCAAGTTTTGGAGCAGCCCCTCCCTTGGCTCTGTTCCTCCCAGAGGTTTGGTTGAGACATCTGCTCTGGGCTAGCTAGTTGCTGCCTGATGGAGGAAGCTCAGAGATGCGGGTTGGTAGGAGGGGGTGTCTCTTTGCTCTCCTCCATCAGCCCAGCTTTCCAGAAGTCCCTTGCATCCCTACTGGATGAAACCAGGAGAGCCCGGGGGCTTTTATCTCCCCTGTAGCAGCGGGAGAAGGGAATTACGGCAGCAGAAGTGAGAGGCTTGTCTCCTTTTCCACCCAAGACCTTTGCCCATTTATTCTGTTAAAGAAACGGCAGATTCAAGACCAAGTTCTGCCTGGGATGTGGATCCTGGCAGCCCCTCGGGTCCTGCTGCTGAGGATTAGTGTAAACCAGGAAGCCCTACTCTTGTTTGCGATTGGAGCCTGTCTGTCAGACTAATCTGCAAGCCATTTTTGTGCATGCAGGATGACTCAGTTGATGGTACACCATGTCTAACACTTTTTTTTGGGGGGGGGGTAAAGGGTTGCTTGGAAACAGTGGGTTTATATTAAGAGTAACCCCTTATTGCGAGCTTAACTGTGTGCTCTACACAATTACCTCGTTTAATTTTCACAACGATCTCCTATGATATCGGTACCCATTTTAAAGCTGAGGAAAACTGAGGCTGAAAGAGGTCTAATTAGTAACCCGCTGTGGGTCGCGTGTCTATCAGCCAAGACAGGAGCATACTGTCTCCACAGCTCAGGACTCTTAAGTCATCACTGTTCTAACTATAAATTCCATTTGTTTACATTGTCACCGAGTAAATTATATACACTTACAGTTTGCATAACTGATTTCACATAGTCCTGGAAGTCTCATCACGCCAAGAACCACCAGGTACGGAGACTGTGGGAGGGAAGGGCGCCCCACAGAGACCGGAAGTTCAAGGAAAAGCCCGTTCAGGGAGCTTTAAAAACCAATTTTGGAAACCGGGTCCCGGTGGCGGGCGAGCGCGGCTCACACTGGTGGGCGGCGCCCACCAAGCCGAGCCCCGCGCTACGCCGCGCCGCCCCCACCCCTTTTCCTCCGCCGCAGCTCTCTGGGTGTCCTGCGGAAAGAGCCCGCCTCCGGACCCATAAGGCCCTGGGCCGGAAGCTTCACTTCCTCTTCCTGTTTTCCACCATGGCGGTGAGTAGCTGATGCCTGGGTTTGCTTCCCTTCATCCGCCTTCATCCACGGCGGGCCGAGGCCGCGGGAGCTGTCTCGTCCGCGGCCCGAGAAGAGGGGAGCCCGCAAGACTGGCCGTGCCGAAACTGGCAGAGCCATGCGGGCCGAGAGCGCAGAGCTGAACGTTGTCGCCTCCCCTTCCGCCCTCTTAGGAGCGGGCTCGGGGCAGCCGCTGGGAGGGCTCAGAAGCGCGGCCCGTAGGCTGCAGGGAGGGCGAGTGGAGCGAACGGAGGGGCTGGCACACGGTGTCCGGATCTGTTACCCGTCCCGGGGACTTGAGACTTGCCGCGGGCTAGGGAGCCTCAGCTTGTTCCTCCGCTTGGGGAAGGCGCTAGCCTTCTGCCGCGGCCACCCGGCTGCTTCGGAATGGAATGGGGGACGTCGCAGAACCACGTGATTCCCGTTTCCCCAGCCGTTTAAATTCTGTTTTCTCCCCCGTCGGCTTTATAGTGCGGACGCGCTCTGACACCTTACCCGCTGAGCCCGTTGGGGTTCATCCTCTGCCTGTAACTTTAACTCCCGATACCTGTCCTCAGTTTCTGATCACCCATTCCGTGCGTGGAGGAGGAAACCAGATCCCGAGCTGTCTTCTGCCTTGGTGCCTCCCACACAAACGGCGTGATACTTTTTAAACCCTTTAGGGCTTTCGTTAGGAGCCAGGATGAGCAGAAATAGGTATGCTGTGTATGCTAATGCTGGCCTCGGGGCTGTGGCGGGGTTGTGTGTTGACTGCGGCGCTCCCCTTGTTGCAGCAGGATCAAGGTGAGAAGGAGAACCCCATGCGGGAACTTCGCATCCGCAAGCTCTGCCTCAACATCTGTGTGGGGGAGAGTGGAGACAGACTGACCCGGGCAGCCAAGGTGCTGGAGCAGCTCACAGGCCAGACGCCCGTGTTCTCCAAAGGTGAGTGGTGGCAGTCGGGGGAGAGGACCGGCGGCTGCGTATGCCTGCATTTTTCCTAATTTACCTGGCGTCCAGCCTGTTCAATGCCCGTTTTGAAAGTGACAGTTGGTGTCCCTTAAAAGTATTACTTTTCTGAGCTACCCAAGAAGTATCTTCCTTTCAAGATTGGGTTTGGTGTTGGAATACCGGGTTTTTAAGTTTGCAGAAATTAAGCTAGGACTAGTCCCAAGTAGAGATTTTCCGGGGAAAGTTAGAAATGTTGGGAATGCAGTAAATGGTATTTGGCTTGATTCACATTTGGAATTTATAGGCTACATTAAGAACAGAGCTGTGTGCCTAGACCAGCTGGGTTCACATCCTGGTTCCATCATTTGCTAGTCTGACTTTGGCCTTTCTGGGTCTCAGCTTCGTTATTTACTTAAAGGGGATGATAATACTTAATAAGATTGTGAAGGATTAAATGGGTTCTATGAGGTGCCTGCTATATACCAAGCTCAGTGTAGATGTTACCATTGTTTTGTTGCCTTTTTTTTTGTTTTTGAAGTTCCATTGCTTTAGGATAGTGGAATATGGCAAGTTCTTGGGTTCAGGTCCTGCCTTTTATTACCAACTGTGATTTGGGGCAAGTTAACTTCCCAGAACTTTATCTGTAATATGAGGATACCATTACAATAACGCTTTAGAGAATCTTAGCTATTTTCAATAATGTTTTGTTTTCTTTAGAACACAGTGATCCTATTTCTTTCTAGTGGCCTAGTCTGGCTGTGAACTTGGCCCATCCTGAGACTCCGACATTATGACTTTGAGCACTTTTTTTTTTTTTAAAGATTTTATTTATTTATTTGACAGAGAGCACAAGCAGGGGGAATGCAGGGAGAGGGAGAAGCAGGCTTCCCTGCTGAGCAGGGAGCCCGATACAGGACTCCAGGGCTCAATCCCAGGACCCTGAGATCATGACCTGAGCCAAAGGCGGACGCTTAACCGACTGAGCCACCCAAGCGTCCCACTTCGAGCTCTTAATTGCCTAAGTATGACTGAGGACTTGGAAGTTGAAAAATACGTTTTCTGTGTTATGGATGAAACCAGATGTAGGTGACACTGGTTAGAACGCCACCGTTTGGGATGTGGGTAGATATTTAATGTCTCCTAGGAGTTACGAAGATGATCTGGGTAAAAGGTGAGTGCAGTGGGAGTGTGATACCTGACTCCTTGTTTACCCCTGCCTGCAGCTAGATACACGGTTAGATCCTTTGGTATCAGGAGAAATGAAAAGATTGCTGTCCACTGCACAGTCCGTGGGGCCAAGGCAGAAGAAATCCTGGAAAAAGGTCTAAAGGTGAGGCTGATCCCCTCATGGGATAATAATAAAGAGTGCCAACTTAACACAAGTAGATAATAACAGTGGTGTTGGTTACACTTCATGTACTGTCTTTGGTGCCTTGGCTTTTTAATTTTAATTTTTTTATTATTTTTTAATCTCTAAAGGGGGTTTCCTGCACTCAGCAAGGTTTAAACCATTCTTAATGATTTCTCTGGGTTTTTCCATGCCTTTTAAATGTTGGGAAAATTCTGTGAAATTCATTGTTGGGATGTGATTTGGTGTTGTGGGGAAATGAGATTTTGTTCAGGATCAAATTATATCGAATTGCATCTCTGGGGTGCTGAGTGTTGAGGACTAAGCTAGGAATTTGCGGGGGGATTTGAGTTGACGAGGAGTGTGATTGCTGCATTTTTCTCCTTAGGTGCGAGAGTATGAGTTAAGAAAAAATAACTTCTCTGATACTGGGAACTTTGGCTTTGGGATCCAGGAGCACATCGATCTGGGGATCAAATATGACCCTAGCATTGGTATCTACGGCCTGGACTTCTACGTGGTATGAATATTTAATCTTCTATTCTTGGCATGTGAGGAGAGTGGATCTGCTACTCCTTTGTGTGTGCTATCTTGATGTTCAGGTGTTGGATTAAAGCTTTGAGTGTTGTCTGCCTTTGTGTTCTGCCCCTTGGGAAGATGTGCCTCGTTTGTGGCAGGGATCAGGATACAGCACTGAACTAGATGGACAAGATCCTGCTATTGTGAACCTTATAGTCTAGGATCTAGCAAGCACCAATATGGCTTAGAGGTGGAAGAAGGAACTCTTCCACCCACTGAATTGAAAGTTTGAGAGAGTTCTGGTGCTGTATTTGGTGTGTGGGTTGGCCGGACTGAGGCCGCTCTTTTCCCAGCTCCTTCCCTTAGACCTTGGGGATAGAGTGGCTTCCATCCAGAGGATGGAAGTTTGGTGAGTTTGGTGATGTGGCTGTTTGCTCAGTCAGGATAGTAGGGATTTCAGTGTAGAAATGACCATTTGTGTTACTACATGTGTCTGTCCAACCATGAAACCACACAGCAAAAAGCGGAAGTCCTGATTAGTGTGGAACCTGAGTCATGGCAGCACCCTCATTAGATTTGAGTATCCAAACACTAAGGAGAATTAGGTGCTCACAGGGAGTTTGGGAACAGCAAGCCTTTAAGAATCACTTTTGAACTAAAGCAGAAGAGAAGAATAACTATTTCTTTGTGCTTCTCAGAATCTTAAGTTTTCTATAATGCACATACTATAGTAAGATTTTTTTTTTTAACATTACTTTAAAAATGCACTTTGGAGACTGGGGAGCCGTGAGGGAGAATCCTTAGCTACCATTGGAAGTTGGGCAGGGAAGGGGGGAGGTACTGTAAGTTCCAGCCTCCAGAGCAGACCTATAGTGTGGTATGTTGTCCAGGATGCTGCTAACCAGTTTATCAGACCCTGAGATCATGGGTCTCTTGCTCTGGAAATCATTGGGCTACCACGTGACTCTTGAAGATCAATCTCCAATGTGTGAGTCTTGTCCGTCTACTCTTGACTGTGAGCTGGCTAGGTGACTGTTGGTTATTCCTGGGACAGGTGCTGGGTAGGCCAGGTTTCAGCATCGCAGACAAGAAGCGCAGGACAGGCTGCATTGGGGCCAAACACAGAATCAGCAAAGAGGAGGCCATGCGCTGGTTCCAGCAGAAGGTAAAGCTGATTTATCTCAGGTGACCTGGTGGAATGTGGTGTTGGTGAATAGAGTTGGGATTTGGGGGTGCAAAATCCCGCACCATTTGGTGGGTACTTTCTTTAAAGATAGAGTATTTGGGCACCTTGGCAAATGTGGGTTTCCAGGGTTGGTGGTTTGAACACCCAGAGTCAGGCTTTCTCCCCACCCCCATACATGCAGGTAGAGGAAGGGGAGGAATATGGCTTTAATAAGAGCCCCCTTTTCTCAAGGTATAGTGCAGTTCAGCACAGTGTAGCAGTTGTTAAAACTGGCCAGTTTCCTGTTTAGTCCAGAAGGGATGTGGGGTTCAGAGCTGAATTCACGTATCAGATGTGAATTCTCAAACGTTAGCCATTGCTGCCGTCTTTGCTGTTGCCTCCTGTTGTGAAAAAATAAAATCTCTTCTCTTTCAGTATGATGGGATCATCCTTCCTGGCAAATAAATTCCCGTTTCTATCCAAAAGACCAATAAAAACTTTTCAGTGAAATGTATATTACTGTTGTGTGTTCTGTGAAAGGAGCCTGGCCATATTCAAGTCCCTGGACCTCAAGCCACTTAAAGCTTCGATGGGAATAGCTGGTAACGACCCTGTTGTCCTCTGGATGCCAGTGTTTCCTGGCAGATTGAAGCCTGAGCTTCGCAGCATTGCCTGTGCTCCCCACACCCTTGTGGTTAGGCTGTGGTGGTGCAGTAGTCACATGGAAACTGATTTTAGAGGGGAGGGTATGATTGGGCCTGGGGTTTGAATATAGAGCTTTGGTGAGAGGTGAAGGTGGGGTGCAGTGTTCCCATGTTCCAGGAGGCTCCCCTCTCTTCACTAATTCTAGAGATTATAGCAGCACTCGTGTCTGATGAAGGGAGTCACAGGCTTTGGTGTGTCATGTTTGGGATTAAATTTTGGTTTAACTGTTCAGACGCCGTTTTCCTTTAAAATGAGAATGTATAGGGTTGTTGAGGCAATTTATAAGCCTAGAAGAGAATGGTCTTTGAGGCAAATTGCCTGGATTTGATTCCCTGTCCTGCTTTTTATCTGATATGTTACCTTAAATAAGTTAATCTCTGCCTCCGTTTCTCTTCTGTATCATGGAGGCAAGTGATAGCCCTCAGAAGGTTAGTACTTGCAGAATACTTAGACTTGGACCAGGCACATAGTGCTCAAAAGGGGTTAATTTTGTATTTTGGTACATGAGATGTTACTCTTACCAGTTTGCTCTTCCTTTGGTGTGAAAGTAGAACTTTCTTGCCTTTTCTTGTCACTGAACCAGTGACATTCAAAAGCCACCATTTCTCTGGCCGTTAGACACAGTAGTTGGCCAATGGTTAATAGTTTTCAGTGTAGTTTTCAGTTTGAGCACATGTTAATTCAGTTCAGTTTACCCACTTGTGACTAATGAGTTCAGTTTTTCTTGGGCCACCTTTTCACTGCCGTTAAATGGTTCTTTTAATTTGTTAGCTACCTTTGTAGTTATTTTAAAACCCAGAAATCTCTTTGGTGTGCCTTCATTATTATGGAAATAAGACATTTTTGTCTTCCTGATAATAAAGTCGTAGCCAGTGAGATCAGATACAGTTGGTTAAAAGGGAGAATCCTGGAATGTATTACCATGTACTTTTTGTTTCACTTAAAATATTAGTGTGCATTCACTTTCCAGTCTGACTGTAGGGCCAAAGACTATCACGTTATAAACAGGGAAAGTTGTGAAGGAGTGATTCTTGTTCAGCTTCATTTGGGGGGGGTGACTTGTCTTAACTTCTATAATTACAGTAACAACTACAACTGGAATATACACATGAGAACAAATTGTTGGTGAAGATACATAATTTGTGTTGGTGGGTGCTAGCTGCTGTGGGGAGTCAGTATATTGTACAGAGGAGACCGCGTTATGCTCGTTTTGTTTAAAGCATTTCAGAACTATGAAGTGTAGAAAGTGAAGGGCCCTCGAATACAATCACTGGCCTTCTGTACTTTACTGTTAGCCGTTTGCTGTTACCTGTATGTTTTTATGTTTGTGTTCCTATTTAATTTTAACAATATAAACCTGTCCACCTTTCATTTGGTTCTGCCATGTCGTGTATTCAGTTGAGTTGACTCCCCATTTTTTAAAGTAAACTGCCTGAGCTCTTGGCATAGTAGAAAAAGGACTCTTGGGAGTTTGGTGATCTGACTGGATTTTAGTCCTACCTCTCAGTCTGGTGAGTTCTGAAACATGTTGGGGCCTTGAGCAAATGGGGAGACTTCCCTAACCAGATTAGAGTGGTCAGGGCCAGGAAAGCTTGCCTCCTGCCCTGGTTAGAAGCATGGGTTCCAAACAGATGTCACACTGGTGTCTGAAGTACATTTGTTTTGAGTTGACATCCATTCACTTGCTACAAAGTGGTTACAGTCACCTGGGGGTTTGTTACTATTGGGCCTCAACCTCAGATCTACTGAATTAGAATCTGCCTTTTAACGAGATCCATAGGTGGTTTGTGTACACACACTAAAGCCTAGAAACTACCCACATACTAATGCCAAAACGGGGAAGACCCAATACCTAAGGAGATTTCTTTAATAAATTTAGCTTTGTGAAGTTCTTGCTGTGTGGTTGTTTTTCTCATTACTTCAGCTGCTCTCCATGAAAACTTAGATCAATGTTAGGTCATCCTCTGCCCCCATGTCACACTGGTTGTCTTCAGAATAAGGTGGTGTTCCAGCAGGCATCTGTCTGTATTCCAATACCAGGCCCAGAAATACTAGATGCTACTTTGCTGATTGAATGTTCTAGTTCCACAACTATCGTCTACAACAGAATTCTCAGTCTGGGGCAATAATCTATCCCCATCCTGGGGTATTTGAAAAATTTGTGTGGATGGCCCTTCATTTACCACTTTAACTAGGGCTGCTATTCGTATTAGTGCCTATAGGTCAGGAGTGTCAAACATTCTACGATTCAGGATGACGCAAGTAGTGAGTTGCTATGTAGATGGGTACAGGATGGTCACTCATATGTGAGCAGGTAACGTGATGGGGCCAGCCAGCTGTGCAAAGGCTTGGAGGTACCATTCTGATTGAGAAGCAGCAGGGAGACTAGAGAGAGCAAGGGTGGAAGTCCGGAGTAGATCAGATCAGGCTAGTGAGAGCCACATCAACCCACCATTGAAGGCCACAAGCTACCATTGCTGCTGCTGCAGTAAGATTTTTAAAGGAAATTGGGGCAGAAATGGGGAAACCTCTTAGGTTGTTCCAGAGTGCTTGGCATTTTCATCCATGTAGGATGGGCAAAGGGGAGAGATCTGAATCCAGATAAGAGTAGTTGGGTTCTTTTTAAAGATGGGATCAAATTTTTTCAGGATAGTGTGTGTACATGGATAGGTTTCTATTTTGAGCTGGTCAGTATCAATCCACAGGGCTGTGTTTATGCCAAATAACTTAGAAATACATGATGATCCCAGGACTAAGGACAGTAGGTGCTCTTCCTCTATTGGGAACACATAGTTAGCAAACAGGGCTAACGTTCCCTTCTAGGCTTTTTTTTTTTTAATGAGAAACTAGATGTAATTTTAATTTGTGCTTTTATGTATATTTTCATGTCATTATGGTGGCTTTATAATATGCTGTCTTTTAGATGTATAGCTGATATTGCCTTATCTATGCAGCCCACACTAAATATCAGGAGTGTTATAGTTCGGTAGGACTGCCCCATGCGCCCTACAGGCTCTTGTTTTGGCCCTCTGTATAGTATCTGTGAGGTCCTTGCATAGTATCTTCAAGTTATCTGATGGTGTGGTGTAGTTGAAAGAACACTAAGCTGGAGAGACGTCATCTGTGTTGTTTTCTGCTCTGCTTCTCCTGTTAGCATCGTGACCCAAAGACAAGTAACCAGGCAAATTGCAAGCCCTCTGGCCCTCTAGAGCAGACTGAACTGCTAGATTTTGTCTATGACTTTTTATTTTCTGATTTTGTGCTTTTGCCTTTTTGTGCAATTTAACCACCTGCTAGTCCCAATCTGTTAAACTCCACATGTAGGTTGAGGTGCTCCAGCCAACTGGTGGGTAAAGGCCTCAGTGAGTAGGCTGCCAGTGGCTGAGTCCTAAAGGGTTAAGGCCCAGGCTTTCTGGGTGAGTGGCGAGGTCAGGGCCCAGGAACCACCCACAGATAGTTTAAGCTGCCAGTCACCAGGGACCTAACTGGTGCCTGGGGTACAGAACCACTTGCACAGCAGCTTGTTATGGAAACCACAGTGTGGTTGTCACGGGGGAATCCATCGTAAGGCACCTGGGGGGCACTACCAGGAGGACAGAACTTTCACTCTGCTCGAGGTGCAGGAAGGCTTAGGAAACAGATGCAGAGGTTTGCGTTTTCACAAATCTGAACAAAAATGATGAGTTGTGATTGTATCAGTTGAGGACCTTATATAACTTGATTTTAAAGTGTTATGTAATTATATTTATCACTATTGATTTAATTTGCTTTTAGACAAATATGTCCACAGTTACCTGGTGTCTGAAAGTAGCATGATATGCCATCTTTTAGATGTGTAGGTTATATTGCCTTATCTGTGCAGCCAGCACTAAATGTTGAAGGCAAAGGCATTCAACAGTGCTCTTCTAGACTCCCCTCAGTTACCCTGCTGAATGTACTTCTTTGATAGCAAGACTTTTAACCCTTTTAATACCATGGTGGCTGCCTCTGAAAGGGTTTTCCTACAGTGTATTTCGGTTTTTTGCTTTTCAAGATTTGTTCTGCTTAAACATGGTATATCATGGTGTATACGAGCACAGAATTTGATTTCAAGCATCTCAACTATTTTTTTTTTTTCCGAAGATTTTAATTTTTAGAGGGAGCAAGCACAAGTGGGTGGAGGGGCAGGGGGAGAAGCAGACTCCCCTCTGGGATCATGACCTGAGCCGAAGGCAGACGCTTAACCGACTGAGCCACCCAGGTGCCTCTAAGCATCTCAAATATCGTGCAGGTCTCTGACGGATAGCGTAGGCTTCTTTCCCATGAAGAGCTCCGCTAGCTGCCAGCTGGCCCCTCTTCCAACTCTGCTGATAGCAGATAGCTACACAATGGTTGTTGCACCCAGTGTGGTCATCCAGGCAAACTCCAGGGGTGGGATATGCTTTCTTGGATGTTGGTCAGGATTCTTTTCTGACAGGCACCAATGAACTCATTTCGTTTTCATGGCTCTGTGAGGTGCTACAATGATTAGGACCCAGAGAAAGGCACCGAGGAGGAAATGAATTTTCCAGTCACAGGAGTGGTGATGGAGCCATTCTTCAAAGGCAGGCAGATTCCAGCCTCTCCAGACCTATCTTTTTGTACAGGTTTATAGCTCTTAAGTAATAGGGCTAAACCACACATCTTCCCCTTGAAATATGCTTCTGTCAGTTTTTCCCTGATTTTCAGTTGACCAACCTACAAAATGCTGTTTACCACTGTAGCTTATGCACCCCAATTCTCCAGAGAGGGTCAGCAATCAGAATTGGAGTTGGTCTTTACTTGTCAGCAGTTGACTAAGGGGCCAAACACCCAAGTAGCCACTGAATTATAATTAAAGAAAGACCGTTTTCGTCAAAATGGGAAGTGTGTGTATTTTGTAGCTGATGTGTAATGTCTCAGAAGACTGCATCTCCCTGTTCCCAGTGTCTGACCTCTGAGAGCAGCTGGTTGCTCAGATTGGACACACAGCAGGACTGCCACCTGCTACCTGGGTGAGACCGTGGGCAAATCAGCCAGCTTCTCTGGGCATCAGGTCCCCCCTGCTTGTGTTCCCTCTCCCGCTGTCTCTCTCTCTCTGTCAAATAAATCTTTTTTTTTTTAATTTTTTTTTTTTTTTTTTTTTTTGGCTGAGAGAGAGAGCACAGGGGAGGGGGCAGAAGGAGAGGGAGAAGCAGGTTCCCCGATGAGCAGGGAGCCCAATGTGGGGCTTGATCCCTGGACCCGGGGATCATGACCTAAGCCAAAGGCAGATGCTTAACAGACTGAGCCACCCAGGTGTCCCATATCTAGTATGTTCTAGATGCTAAAAGAACAAAGCATGCACTCAGTGGACTAGATAGATTTAGGGTTTAGCCTTTGCTCTCAAGAAATACCTGTGACATCGGAGACCTCAGTTTCCCCATTTTTAAGATGGGGATGATACTGATCTCATAGGCTTATTCAGGCCTCTGAGTTGGCACAGAGACAAATTAGTTGCTAAGTTCACCAAACTAATAGAAGAACTTATCTTTACCAATGAGGCTGGTGTTTGAGTGGGAAGTTGACCCACAGAAAGGAGCCAAATGGAATTCCAGTTAAATGATACATCTCTGAAGGCAAAGATGATGTCTTTGCTGAGCTTTGGCCAAGGTTTTTAGAGAAGTAAATATAGTATCTACTTAAAAGGCGTGAATACAGTGCACTGTCATCTTTAAGGTTATCCTTCTAGAAAGCCTTATGCTCAATAATGCTGCCCCTCCTTGCCTAAGATGTTGGGGAACATCTAGTCTTTAGAAGGTATAAGTGTTAGAGTATTTGAATCTTGTTTTCATTCTCATTCCTGATGCTTACTTAACTGTGCCGCATGTTTTCTCTGCTCCTCCTGTGTAATGAGCAGATGGAATAAGACCTAAGAGCTAATCAGATTCAAGGAATCTCTGCCCCCTAAAAATATTGGCTCAAGTGAGGGGCAACACCTACAAGATTTAGAGGAATGACCACCATTTAGTGGGTGTGTAGTACATGTCAAACATTGTGCTTGGTGGACTGTGTGTGGTCTTTTGTGTCTTCACTTGAGCCTGCAAAGTAGGTGATGGTATCTGTTTTACAGATGAGGAAGCGGAGGCTCAGAATGCATTAAAAAATTGCTTGAGGTGCCATGTTAAATCCAGGTTGGCACCTGCGACAGGCTCCCTCGAGCCTAAGCAAGCTGCACATTTGGTGGCTTTTCCAGATGTCCTGGTTTAAAGGCTGGAAGATCACCAGGAAGGAAGGAAACATGGTGGGCATGACACTGCTAGAAGCACTGGACTCCATCATGTCCCCTGCCCGCCCTACGGACAAGCCCCTGAGGCTGCCTCTGCAGGATGTATACAAGAATGGGGGTGAGTATGTGCTATGTGGGGGTGCTTGGGGTTGGGGGCTCACTGAAGGCTGGCTGCTGACCATTCTGGTTGCTCTGTCCCCCCAGGCATCGGCACCGTGCCTGTGGGCCGGGTGGAAACAGGCTTCCTCAAGCCAGGCATGGTGGTGACCTTTGCCCCCTGCAACATCACCACAGAGGTCAAGTCTGTAGAGATGCACCACGAGGCCCTGGCTGAGGCCCTGCCTGGAGACAATGTGGGCTTCAATGTGAAGAATGTGTCGGTGAAGGCCATCAGGAGGGGCTACGTGGC